ACAACTCTCAATCGTCACACACTGAACGCCACAGGATCTCTTTGTGGACGTGCTAGCAGGAACTCTCAATTCGACTTTTGACTGTACAGGAATTAAAAAATGTTTAAATAGATGTCAAAGATTGGTCCATCAACTGATTGGATTGGTTATCAGTGATTGGGGTTTTTTTTTTTTTTGGTTTTTTTTTTGTTTTTTTTTTTACTTGCTGGTCAGTCATCGCTCCAAAATCCTGATCGTGGAAAGCCTACTCAATGAACGACGCCCCTCAAGTCAAATATCCGTAACATGACTTTGGACATTATTTAGAAAGAAAGACTTCTTTCTTTGGCATTGACAACGTCAGACTCTCACGCCATCGGCGCTGGCGTTTGATTTCCCGGTTGTGCTCGAAGATCCTTGACTCCTCGCTGCTGATGACTTGAGCAAGCAATCGTTGGTCTCATCATCGCTCATTCTGCTCGTTGCTTGTCAACTTGACACCGAGGACATGTATATGAAAGGACTTGGCTGCAGAGAAGGGTCAGACAGCTGAAGGGGAAAACTCTTAGTCTGAATGTAGTTTGCGTTTTAAATAAATATGTTGTGACACCAGTGCTGGAACTTTGCTCAGATACATCGTATCTGCTTCTTGTCTGCCTCGGCCGGTGCAAATCGAGATGGTGAAACAGCAGATAATTAGACAGCGACCGCAGAATAGAAGGGTTAGCGACCGAGGGAGATATGAGAAAGCAATGGGCACAACAACAGAGATCGTCCCATGTGTACTGCAACGACAACGATATCAGTCCGCTCCCATGACTGACGTCTCTGCTGATAAATGCAGAGGCACAATGAATGGCACTGCTGCCACCAACCACAGGGGATCGAAGAGAAAGACAAGTCACATACTTGTTACACGGATGGTGAGGAGATGACAGCACAGCCAACCGTAGCTGTATCCATCGGAATAACCGTGATTAGAGGCACGCCTGAGTCATTTGAAGTTTACTGAAGTGACAGTTATAAAGAGAGCAGTTGTCGAGGTGAACGTGTGCTGTCGTCCTGTCAGATTGTTGCAGCATGGACAGCTGATGACGTGCGACCGCTGCCGATGTCGCTGTGAACGCGACGAGCACTAAATGACTCTGGTGACACTTGACTGGGATGGAGCAAGGAAGAGTTTTGATCGGCGAACAGCTGCACCCCGGAGGCCGAAGCAGCGGTGGCTGTGTATCGGGAGGTCCCATCGACTTCTTGAGACCACACCTGGAAGTCCGTCATCTGACACACCTTCGCCTGACTGGATCCACCCACCTTCTCTTTATTATCAGAGACATAATTTATTAAGTGGCAAAACAGCTCCTGGTAGAGGGGGTGTGTGCGCGCGCGTGCGTGTATGTGTGTGTCTGGGTGTGTGTGTTGTTTGCTTCCTTTCTTCACCTTAACATCTTGAGATTTTACCTGCAGGAACACAATGGATGTAATGAATGATCTCCTACGGTATATTGTCATTTTAAAAGTACAGAAGAGATTTTATGGTTTTGTTTACCTTCCACTTTGTTGCTGACTTGCGTAGACAGAAGAAACTTTAATGAGCATGTTGCACAAGATTTCACAAAAAAATGTCATGTTTGATGGTCCACTTACAGTTATGTCCTCCATCTCGTCAGACATTGAGTAACTAACTTGTGGTAGGTAATACATTGGGATTGTCAGTGTAGATTCCTTAGTTTATTATGGCTTCACTAGTTGCTTTTATACAGTACACGAATTCTAGTTTGGTTGTTGCCTGTTTTCATCTCTCCTTGCAGACTGCAGTCCACCTGTTTTAGTATAGTTTTGTTTAGTTACAACTTTCCAAGTTTCATTCTCTCATTGTTTTTTTTTCCTCATTATAAATGGAGTTAAACATTTAAAGTTAGACCTCCTGCTTTTTTTAAAAACATTTTTTTTAGCGAAAGCTAAATATTTGGATGTCAAAACACAACCGTGTCTGTCTCTTGATAGTTTGAGTTTTCCCATCTTGTCTCTTACCGAAAAAAGCAAGAAAAGTTGTAATTCATCCCAAAAAAACATTCACAAATATTACATAGTGAGTTAAAATAAAGCCGCAATAATCTCCTAAAACATTGGCGTTGTTAATCTTCTTTCATACAGCTGTTGTAAGCTACTTTCAATGCCGGTACTTTTAGTTAGTATTTCTGGCGGTGAGATGGATTTACGTCTTATTTGTGTGCGGTCAGGAATGTCACCTAATGCACCCGTCGCCCAGAGGGTGTCGGGATTCAGGTATGCACGTGATGTGTTGATCGTGAACGTATATTTCAGACTGCGTGACCGGCAGTTTAAATTTGTACACATCGCTACTGAGGTCATGTTTTACAATGAGCTATTCACTTCCCACGCTGTAAAAAAAAAAAAAAAATTCTCACCAACTTGTACAAAGTGTTTCCTTTCATAGACTCAAGTGAACAATCTGGTTTTTGATGTTCTGTGTGCTGTATATTTGTGTTATGGCATGTTTGATGAGGCTGTGTAGAAAGACAGGATACAAAATATTCCACAGGGTTCCTGCATTTTTATTTGACATTTCCACCCATGTCAAAAATGTTTCCGAGCGCCTTTTCCATGAGATACAAGACTGTCTTATATTGACATCAGATTGCAATGAAAAAAAAATCAACAATTTGGGATGTACAATTCACAACAGTTTCATTTCACCATCGTAGAGTAGAGTAAGGTTTCTAAAATGCTTTTATAAATGGCTTAGTAAAAAGGAAAAACTGTCAAGCCATTGAAGATGACACACTGCACTTGCCTCGATTATGGGAACCCTGTTTCTGTGTAAACATCATCGTCATCATCACTTAACACACACAAACACACACACACACACACACACACACACACTTCGGTCAGTCACAGCTGTGGTGATCAAGTCTCTTCTGCTATGGTTTCTTTTGATTCTGTGGTTCAGGCTTCTCTTGCTGTAAAATGACAAAATGTAGGAACTTCCTTTGCTTGCAGGTAGTTTCTGCCAGATGCGTGTTATTCCAAAAGTGATTGTACTGTTCTGTATTGTTCTGTACACAAATTTTAAATAAAGAGTCAGGGTTTTAAAATCCCTCGTCCAGTTTTAGAAGCTAAAAGCGGTCCCGACATTTCAAAGTAAGCTGAGGCTTGAGATGTCTGCTCAAATGTCGGATACTTACAAAACTTATAGGAAGGTGCTTTAAACTGCAAATGGGCACTCCAACCATCGAAATCAGGAATGGGCAACTTAAATCCTGGAGATGACCACAATTTTTCATCCTTGCTCCTGGGTGGCCACATTGGACCACACACTTCCCAAACAGATATATGACAAAAATCTGATTTTAAGGATGGACAAAATGTGTGCCTTAATATACTCTATTTCATATGTGAATATACGTTTTCCAATGCACGTATAAAAGATCCACTATCTTAACCCAACGACAAAGGGTTCGAAGCACACAACAAAATAACCACTTTTTTTTTTTTAATGTCCCCGGAGTCTCTTGCATAAATATTACCAATCAAGGAAACCACAAAACTGCTGAGCAAACCATCTTTTAAAGCAAGAATTTTCACAAAAATCAACACACCCAAAATTTAAATCTCGAAGCACTATACTGGTTGTCCTCCAGATCATTCCAAATCTGCAAAAAATATTAGGCCTACTGTTGTTGTAGTATAGGGCAGTGTACAAGACCCAGTGGACAATAAAATACCTGTTCATCTCTAAACTGAAGACGTCTGCCAACTAGTGGCCATCGGTGACATTGCATCTGTTCGCAGATTTGTTCATATTTGGAATTTAATTTTTGGAGATTAATTTTTCTTTTAATTAGTAAAGAGGCATGTGAACCACCAGTTGCCATTCCCTGATCTAAATGGTCAAATTATATCTTTTTTGTGCTTCTAAAAGGTCATCTCATTTATTGTATTCACAGAGGAAACTAATATTGACAGTTGAAGAGGATGTACAAATGAAGACACATTGTCTGTACTTTGTTTTATTTATGAAACTCAAATGATCAAGAAAAAAATAACACTGCTTCAGACATTGTGACAAGTGAGAAGTAGGCATTAAGCTCACCAGCAGTCATGTCAGTTAACATACTGAGGACAGAAGTGAACACATGCCTCTCATTGGAGTCATTTCAAAACATACTGCAGTCTTTCAAAATAGAGGTGACTGCACAAATGCAGCATCCTAATGAGAACCAAACAACGCACAAGATGGCGGAAACCTTTAAATGGAGGAATGTCTGATTTAGCGTGAACACAAAGTCATTGTTCAGACAGAACAACACGTTTGTTTATTTAGCACAATGAAACCAGACTGGATGTCTGATGAGCATCATGTTCAAATATGAGCCGGGGATTTCAAAGTGTGAGTGAATAGACACAATGTTCAACTTGTGCGCACTTAACATATCTGCACTCACTTACTTTTTTCTTTTTTGTAAAACAGCGACTGCAGGGTGCTCATGACAGATTCAGTGCAAAAGAACCCCCCTAGCTTTAATATGACTTTCTAACAGAACAAAGTCAAAATATTTGAAGAATCCACTGTACACCTGCATCGGGATGAGTACAGTTGAGGATCTTGTCAAGTTATTTTATTCACATAGTTTGTTGCTTTCCCTTGCACAATTTCATTACAATTTATCTGTAGTGATTTGAACTTTTTTTGGGGGGACGGGGGG